GTCAAAAAGTGACTAAAACCAGAACTACAATTGGTTTTATGAATGGAAGTACTCTTAACTGACTCTTAGGTTAAGCCATGTGCTTCTTTAATTTCTCCATTGACATTTTATTGCCCTACATCATATTGTCACTTTTAGTTTTTCCACAACCACTTCCATCCTTGTGATAAAATAAAAATCCTCTCCGCAGCATTGATTCCAGGGCTGAAGAGAAGATAACATAGAAGCTGGCAAATATTTTCTATGTGCATGACTAAGCTAGCTGTATCCAGAAGGAACCAACATTAGGAAAGATTGGCTTAAAATGAAAAACAATTAATTATATTACTTATATAACATATTACTTTTTATAGTTAATGTAGAATTCAGATATGTAGAGCATAGCTCTCATTAAGTGCATAGTTCTCTGCTTTTTTTTCTTATTCATTTATTTTGCGAAAATAAAATGAAGATAAAAATCCTCATTTTTAAATAACCAGTCATACAGGGTCCCAGATTCTTCCGGAGAGATAATGGAGGAAAATTTACAAAGTCCCTGCTGTAATCCAAAACCTTGCATTTTCAGCTCTGGCCCTCTCTCACAACTTGTTCTTCGGGATTACCTAAATACTTAATAGGATGTCTTAAGCAATTGGTGGGCTGGTAGCAGTCCCACTAATTGCTCTGAGTCTTAATTCCTTGTTGATTTGTTTACTTAGTAATGGCCATATCTAATGTCAGTGGAGCAGTTGTTTTGAACTGACATCCCCTCTGTTGGTGGAGCTGACAGTAAGTATAGTTTGAAACACACAATGCAGAGGAGCGGGGCAGAGCTAGTCCTCTCATCCCTGCCACCACCAAACTCTTGCCTTTTCCCTGTATGTTTCAGGGGACCAACTTAGATATTATTCATTAAAAACCTCAGCCAAATCTGCAGCCTTCATCTATTTGCCATGACTAATATCAGGCATTTGAACGTTTTTATTAAACTCTGCCGTTTCCTCTCCTTTTTAAAATTTAATAATAAATTGGATGTCACATTATAGCTGCATTTATTAAAACCCACCAGAGCTCGCTCACTCAGTATGCTGCAGTCGTGTGAATTATTAAAGTCACCCTCAACCTCCCCTCTCACCGGGCCTTTGCTGCAACTGCACAAGGTGTTTCTCTCTTCCCCATTTTATTTGCCAGACAGAATAAGTGCCAGCAAGAGACAGAGGTAAAACAGGCTATACTTTTAAGTGAAATTAGAAAATAAACATTCAAGTAAAGGACGAATATCGCACCACAGCTATAGAACAGGGGCTGCTCTTAAAGAAAATAGGCAATGTTAAGAAAAGTATTTCAGAACAAATGCAAGTAGAAAATCCCAATTTCTATGATATGTTATGACAATGAAGCTAATGGTCAATTATAATGGTCTGTGAGGATGTACCTGAGAGACAGGAGAAGGACGGGAAGGAGGATGAAATGCATAGACTAAGTAACTTCCACAGTTATGTTCTTGTAAACTAGCAATAAAGAGAATATTAGTACTCATGGTTGTCTGGACTGCTTTGAAGTGCTAGCATCAATTTTGCAAGTCTGAAAGTACACATATCCCCCTCTCATCTTTACAGCCCAAGAAATTAGGGAGGGTCCCTGCTGAGACATTTGCTAAACCAATATTCCTTCTGTGGGATAAGGTGCCTTTACTTCAGTGTTCCCTAGTCTGCAGCTCCTCCTCTTGTCTCTCAAAGAGTTTCTCACAGACAACTACAGTGGGGCATCTTCCACGGGTTAAGTAGCACTGGATACATTGAAAAATGTATCTGAACAATTCTTCATTAAGCCAGTTAAATGTCATAAACCTCTGAGTTCCCCAGAACTTTTTATTATATGAGATACTGAAAAAGTAGAGAGGTGGATAAGGAAAAATGCTGGTCGATTTAAGTCATGGGATCTGCATTTAATCAGTCTAAAGATGGGGAAGGGGAAGGGGGAGGAAAAACAGCAGACATTCATACTGAACTTTATCAGGTGCTATGCTGGATACACTTACTGTTATCCACAGAATTCTTAAGAAAAAGAAATCAGCAAACAATAGTACTCATCATTATTAAAACCATAAAATCCTCCTGTTGCTAATGTAGCAGAACTGAAACATTGCAAAATTGTACGTTCCTTTTTTTAAAATTCTACTGGTATTTTATATAAAATCATTACTTTGTTTTCTGAGTATCAGAAGAAATACTGTGAAATTCCTATGAAGATAACCAAAAAGAAGAGTAGTGTTAAAAAGGTAGATGCTCCAGTGGAAAATTAAGTTTAGAGTAGAGATTTCAAGTAGAAGGATCAAGCTTTAAATAAAATACATTAATTCACTATGAGAGTGGCTCTGGCTGTGCTTACTCAGCTTACTTAATATACAAAATTGAATCATATAATAAAATAAAATCATCAGCTAATCAAATGGAATGGGTTCATTTAACTTACCAAGTTAAAAATTTCCTGCTAGTTAGAGATTCAGCATTCATGCAAATTCAATCAGTGAAATGCAAGTACAAATGCCTTTAAAATCATCAGATCTATGGGAGGTCGGTAATTTGAGGAGCTACAAGCATACACAATTTCCAGGGACAAACTTAATATAAATCTGTATTATTTCCTTGAAGCTGATAGAGGGGGAGTAATTGGTGAGAAAAGAGTTGATTCCTCTCTGTTGAGGAAAAATTTTCCACTGAAAATTTTATAAAGAAAGGATTTCCTGCTGATAAAAAAGGTAGAAAGATTTTTACATAATACACAACACATGGCTCTATGTCTGAAAAGATGACACATCTAACTCATCAGCCTAAGCAACAGGAATGGAAGATCTCAGTATGAAAGAAACATTTGCCAGCAGGTGGCACTATTTAGTGGTCAACGATCCAACAACAGGTAGGAAGAGGAAAAATCTAGCTATAAACAGTAAAAAGGAAAAGGAAAGGGGTTGGCAAGCATATATTCAAACTTTATTTTTGAATGTTAAAAATATTGAGGGTTTTTTTTGTTATTTTGCCAAAATTTTTAAAAAATCTGAAATTGATAAAGGGTTTTAATTCACCAGGGTGGGTAATTCTTCTCTCTTGTTTTTTCTGCTTGATGTTTTATCACACTTCTTGTCATATACATTTTAGGACAGGAAGCAAATTTCTCTGTATTTGTTCTGCAGACAATAAGGAAGCCCCAGGTTCAGTCATTAGGATTCAGACCTGAAGAATTATCACTTTCCATGAATGGTATTCTGTACTAAACTTAGCAAACAAAACTATTTTTTGTTATGTATTGCTATTTATATGATATTTTAAACAGGCAGGAAAGTGCCTCTATGTTAATCCTTTTTCCTGCTTACAGTATATACACATTCTGCTTATACAGATGGTCATATGTAGACCAGGGATGAAGTGCTCTGAAGTCTGCTACTGCTTCGCTATCGCTAGGGGTGTGCGCCAAATTCATGCTTTGCGCACATGCGCACCGCAGGCGCTACCACTGAAAAAGGAGGATTAAGAAGCCTTTTCTGATAAGTAGAACAGCAAGGAGGGGGAAACAGCTGTGCCACGCGATTATTATTCTAGCGAATATAAATCGCACGGCACAACTGTTTGTCAGAAATACCAGTTCACCTGAACCGTAGCAATATTTTTACTACTGGTTCACCCGAACCGGTAGCATTTATTACTACTGGTTTGAGTGAACCGGTCCAAACCGGTAGCATTTCACCCCTGATGCAAACCCAAAGTGACACCTTTCTTAAATGACAAAGTCTGCACAACATCCTGGTTTTAAGGACCCAGTTTTCTTTTTTTTTTTCCCTTGAGCATGGGCATGACCTATGCTTGGATCCAATTAGCTGAAGCCTTTTCAGTATGAGTCCGGGGCCATGCATATCCCATTTTGGACTATTTAAGAGATTTTCCTCTGTCTACACTCTAAACACCATAAGGCATGGCTACTCCTAAACATCTGATAGTGGCACTGAAACCCATATTGTTTCTCGTGACCAACAACAGAATCACGTTTTGATCCTCCTCTTTTAATTTATGGGATAGGAGACAACAATGATAAATGATGATGCGAATATATCTAATCTGGGTTAATTGACCATTTTGATAGTTTGACCTTCTCCAGAAAGACTCTTGTAATGTGAAGGAAACCAGGAACTGTCCTTTGACTTCTCTTTATAGAGCAAGGGCACCAATTGCCTTGTTTCCTTCTCCTTTCTCAGACTTGACAATGAGACGATGAATCCTTTCTCCCTGATCTATATTTCTTTCTTTTTTGATAAATGATTGTGTCGTGGATACATGATGAAACCCAGACCAAAGAACCATGATATTTCAGGGCTAGGCAAGAGCTTCAGAAAGTTCTCTGCTGCACAAACACTAAATTATGTGGCGTTTTGTTTTTTTAATGAAATGGTTTGCCAATGCCTGCATCATAGGCTTGGGAGTTCTTTTTCTTCTCTTTTTTCTCCTCTCCTCTCTCTCCTGCTGCAGTTATTATTGTTAAATATTAGTAATGAAGAAAATATACTAAAGCCTTGGTTTAGTTTGAGCAACACTTTTCTTAAAACATTATTAGGATAGAGAGCCTCTCTAGGGCATTATTAAAACTTTGCAGACTTCTCCAAGAGTAACTAAGACAAAACAGTTATTATGGCAATGCTTGCTTTGGTCCATCGCCCAGAGGAAAACTAATTTAAATAAAGATGAAGGAACAAAGTTTCCCCTGGTTCATCCTGGCCTGCGTGGTGGCCAGCATAGCAGAGGGACAATGATGAAGTTGAATGCAAGAAATAGAGGAATTTTCCAGTTGGTGCCCAGGGCTGACTGACTACCGCAAGTAGTCCACAGCTATCATAATATCTTGATAGGAGAACAGCCAGAGAAAGGAAACACTCAGTAGCCACTATTTTTTCTGGCAGGACTTCTGTGTCTTTCAAACCAAAATAAATTCAACAGATGATGCTTTCTTCCAGACAGAATTGCAATGACACAAAGTGTTTATTCTACTTTATTTGTTCTTATCACTTAAAGTCTTTTGCCAAAAACAAAACAAAACAAAAAAAAAGAAGTGTGATGAACTTGCTTGAAATAGTGGGTGATGTGGGTAGATACAGGAAGTTCAGGCTCAGCAGGGTTAATTGAAGCTACTGAGGCATCTCTTGGAGATCCGCAATGCCCCAGCAGGAGCGCCGAACCAGCATATTTTAACGTAACAACAAATAACTTTAATTAACTTCTGTGGCAGTGACAGATTCTAAACAATTAACCTTAGGTCTGGAGCTGAGGAGGAGGTGGTTTTCTTCTTTTAATTTTTAAGTGGTGTTGAAACAAGAAAGAGTTGTTCCCCTTGAGACTCTTGCTGCAGCAGAAGAACAGGCAGACCAGTGCAACTGCAGCCTGAATTAAGTCCCCAGTTGACAGAGTTGATGATGGGAAGAAATCAAAGTCAACTTTCTGTACCTGAGCTACTACTCCAACTGGTACAACAGGAAACAAAGCATGGGGTTATTGTTTTTGGCTACCTGGACAGCTTGTCAATGGCAAATATTAGTTGCCAACAGGGATAGCTCGTGGTTAAATAAACTGTGATGATATAGTTCAGGAGAAATCTAAAACAGTCACATGTCACTGAAAAATGAATCAGGTGTAATAACACAAAAGTAGTATAAACTAGTTTCTCAGCAATGGCAACTTTAAGATATGTGTGGGTTTCAATTCTCAGATTTCACCAGCCAGCATGGGGAATGGCAGGGGAGTTATGGGAATTAATGTCTACACATCTTAAAGCTGCCATGGTTGAGAAACTGGTCTAGACACTTCATAAAGGTTATGATCTCCTTAGAAACACTTTAAATCATGAATGACTGACAAGGTCCACATATGGCCCTTGGCCACAAAAAAATGTGGCCTATTATGTTGCTGGATTGTTTATTCCCAGGGTGAAGGAGAAGTAGAGTTCTGGTTCTTTGCTGTTAACATCAGAAAACCAAATAATTTGAAAGAGCATTTCTGAGACAGAGTGTAAAATGTGTGGCTCCCATCTACTCGCCGGTGTTTCAAATTGCTCGGTCACTGGATAGAAACGACAGAGCTGATGAAATTGAATGGTGAAGAATTGTATATATAGAATTTGCACACACAGGCATATTCATAATTGCAGGGCTGAAGTAAATCACATCCATTCACACCCTTCAATGTATTATCATGTAGCTTCTGTCTCATACAAACAACCAGATATACAGTATATACATAAAATGTTGTGCATAACTGTAATCCCCATCTTTCAAATTTATGTTCTGCTCACTGGGCATAAATACTGTTTGTGTGTCAGAAACCCATTTATAACATGATTAATTGCTCCCAGACTTGAAAACAACCAATTTCCAAGAATCAAAGGAATCCATATGGATCCTATCAAGAGACAATGCTGTTCTTCTATTGTTTGCTGATTCTGGTTCAGCAACAGACTGTCCACCAGATTTTCTTAACTAAGTAAGATGTTGTTCAATTGAGGGAACGCAGAAACTGTAGCTTTTTCTAAAGATTTCTAAGTTGTGACAATCAAAAAAGAAGCACACTTAGCCTTTGGAATGCTTTCTTTTTCTTTTCTTTTCTTTTTTCTTTTTGGTAGACTTGAGAAAACCTTTGAAAATTAAAAGCAGATTAGGAAAGCTTTAAAATGCCATCTTTTGATTAACCAGGATTGTTTATCAGTGTTTCAGAAAATACAATTTGTTCTATTTTGTAACAGCACTAATATTTTCAACAGCACTATTTTGTAACAGCACTAATATTTTCGGCTGGACAATTAGGAAAAAAAAATGCAAGTTTAGGTCAGAGAAGTGCTGGCTAAAGTCCTGCAATGGTAAGGACTAGAGATAGAAGTTCTTTTGTACTTTTGTACTCTGCAAAAAGGCTTGGAGAAACTAGTGTGTATAAACAACACAGGCTTCCTGTTATGCTGTGAGTTCAAAAAAGTCCTAGACCAAAATTATAATGTGGGTATTGAGCTAATTCTTGAGCCTGCATCCCATCGCTGAGCTATACTCAACTATACAAAGCTGGCATGTAATTATTTAAGCCTCTTGACTGATACCTAAACAACACAGTGTAGATCGCTTCTGGTGGCTATTTTATGCCTGCTTTGAAAATTATTCCAAAGAATAACAGAACAACAAAATAACAGAGCTGGAAGGGATTTGGGTCTTCTAATCCAACTCCCTGCTCAAGCAGGAGACTCCTTAATCACTTTTGTTGCTGTTCTCTGCACTCTTTCTAGAGCCTCAACATCTTTTTTTTATATCGTGGTGACCAAAAGTAGATGCAATATTCTAAATGCGGTCTTATGAAGGCATAATAAAGTGATATTAGCACTTCATGTGATTTTGATTCTATCCCTTTGTTAATGCAGCCTAGGATTGCATTGGCTTTTTTGGCAGCTGCAGCACACTGGTGGCTTATATTTAAGCCGTTGTCCACTAGGACTTCCAGTTCCCTCTTGCAGTTACCGCTACTGAGCCAAGTACTACCTATTCTGTACCTATTTCATCATGTTTAACCATATTCAGCAGCATGAATGAAATCCTTTATTAAGTCTTCTTGCATGAAGAATGAGAAGATAGCTTCCAGAATAAAAAAGAAGGTACAATATTCTGACCTCAGAAGGTTTTAGACAAATACCTCATATTCTTTTCTGGTGACTATATTTTTAAACATGAGTACTCTTATCCAGTCCCATATGGAATACGAAGTGCAATGATATTACATTGTTGTACAGCTATTATACTTCACTGTCTACTCATTTTCAAATTTATTGAAAAGTCCACAACTGACTGGGTTTGTATTATATTCTAAACCATAAATCATGATTCACAAATAACCATTACACACAAGACAGAAGTGGTGCTTTCACTTTAAAATGGTCAGAATTGCTCAGGATAGATGGATCTTATATCAGGAGCCAAGCAGAGTCCAGGGACCACAGAACAAAAATAAATGGAATCAAAAACAAAGTTGGCAGGCCAACCCATTATCCTTTACATAGAACACATAAATGCATCCAAACACTTATTCTAAACCTAGTGCACACCAACTGATTCTTTTATACAGACAGCCATTTTCATACATAACAGAGACCAACGAACATGTTTTCTCACCCACCCAAATGGCATAACAAAAGAGGAGTTTTTCACTCCTGATTTTCAGCAAGTGCAGGATCACTGGTGCTGAGGTGGAGGCTAAGAGTTGAATCACATTGAGAAAATAGTTTAAGAAACCATATATCGTATCTAAGAAAATTAAAAAGGAGAAATGGATGATCAAACCCTGCTGCTCCACAGGTATGAAGGTGGGAGGATATACTATGACAGTGATGGCTAACCTTTTTGCCATTGCGTGCCAAAAGCATAAGTCCACACCCATAATTCTATGCCTCCGACGCATGTGCCCGTGAGCCCCCCACTTTTGGCACACGGTGGGCACAGTAGGCCCATTTTTTTGCGCTCCCCAGGCTCCAGAGCCTCTCTAGGAGCCTGGGGAGGGTGAAAACGGCCTTCCCCACCCCCACAGAGGCCCTCTGGAGGCCAGAAACAGCCCATTTGCCGACTTCCGGTGGGACCGGAAAGCTCATTTTTTGTTCTCCCCAAGCTCCAGAGCCTCTAGGAGCCTGGGGAGGGCGAAAACGGCCTTCCCCACCCCCACAGAGGCCCTCTGGAGGCCAGAAATGGCCCATATGCCGACTTCCAGTGGGACTGGAAAGCTAGTTTTTTGCTCTCCCCAAGCTCCAGAGCCTCTCTAGGAGCCTGGGGAGAGGGAAAACGGCCTTCCCCACCCCCACAGAGGGTCTCTGGAGGCTGGAAATGGCCCATTTGCCGACTTCCGGTTGCACCAGAGCTGAGCTCCCGTGCCCACTGATATGCTCCTGCGTGCCACCTGTGGCACGCGTGCTGTGGGTTCGCCATCACAGTACTATGATAATAAGAATGGCAAAGCATGCTTATTTTTCCATATTTATTATGTCTGCATATTCTTATCTATCAACTTGTGCCCAACTTTCTTCTGAAAAGAAGGCAGGGGATCATCCTCCAATAGGACACTCTGACAGATTTATGAGCCTTTTTACAGATAAAATTATTCACAATTTCTTGGATTTGGATATCTCTTTAATGAGACAACTCAGATGACAATTTGCAAGACTATCTGGGGATTATTTTGAGTTTATGGAGAGGAAGGATGTAATCTGGGTTCTCTGTGGCATACGGTATATCCTAGTGCCTGGTTGTGCTTGCAATCAAAATCCTGGCATGATGCCTGAAGGCTATGATAATATGAAAGAGCCAACATTCAAAATAAATCCCAGCAAGACAGAGTTGCTGTTTTCAGTACATGGACTACGTAGCTCAATTCTTGTTTAACCATTGGCTGTCAATAGGAAGAAGAAGCAGGTTGAAGAAGCAGGTTCCTAGATATAGAGGTGGATCTTCTGGATTTCAAGGCTCTTGCCAGAGGAACAGATAGATGCTAAGGCCAAGGATGCTTTTGCCAAATTTCAGCTGGTATAACAATTGCAATCCTTTCTAGACTGAGGGGCTGTCATCACTGTGGAGCTAGGCCACTGCATTGCACTCTATATGAAACCACTCTGCAGAAAATTCAAAAGCTACAATTGGTCCAGAATGTTATGGTACATCTGTTAAAAAGTATTAAGGGATTTATCAAGGATACACCAATTCTAGTATTACTGCATTGGTTACCAGTTTGCTTCTGCATTCAATAAAGCCCTACATGGCTTGGACACTGAATACGTAGAGGATTATCTTCCCCCAAAGATCATGACCTGTCCCATGCTTTCAGGAGGAGATGCTAAGGGTCTCTTTCCCACATGATGTGAAGATACTGGTGTATGTATATGCATGTTTGTGTGAATATCCTTTTGGTGGCTGCCCCATACTTTGGAATATCTTGATTTCTAACGTCTATGAAGCTCCTACATTTGCAACCCATAAGAAGCATTTCAGAACTTTTTGTTTTGCAGAGTATTTGGGTCAGAATCATGATGGGATACTTTTAATTTATGTAACTGGAGTATTATTTGTAGCTATTATTTATTGTTTGTAAACTGTCTTTGGTCTTGTGAATTAGGTGAGTTCATACATAGAGAAAATAACACGGGGGAAGAAGCATCCAGAATTGAGGGAACAGGACTTTTTGAGTAGGATAGATTGGATGTCCAAGCTGAACATCCAAATGTGCTGTTTTGTTGAGCACTCATTAGTTATTACTTTTATGTATTTTAGTCATTCTAGAGGTAATGTATAATCTTAAGGCAAGGTAATTGGTTGCCTGTTTTAATTCTGCCAGCAACATACAAAATAAGGTAGGTTAGACAGAATAATTAGCTCAACGGCACCTACTTATTTTTATAGTTGAACAGATGCAGCTGTCATAGCTTAAATTCCAATGCTCAGATGCTACATTCACTGCTTCACCATTTATAGCTTTGTGTGGGTCATCATGATCAGATATATTTAGGTCCTAATCAAAATCGAGCCATTGCCATTCATGCTGATCTTATTTTAGGTTTTTCTGGAGGTCTTTCCAGATTTCACATCTGAAAGAAACTACCTTGAGACAGGGTTTGTTTTTTTCATACATGGTATGTAAATATAGACTTTCAGGCTTTGAAAGAAAAGAAAAACTTGAAAAACAAAGGTGGCATATACTATGAATTCCAGTTAGCAGTGAAGCTGAAGAATAGTTAAATTCACAATAGAGACACTGACCAGTATTACTATTTTTGGAGAGCTTCAGTTGTGGTCTCTTTGATCAGCACTTTAAAATTGCATTCATTCTTCTTTCTGCAACGAGGAAACCCAAACCTGTGACAACATACTCACCAAATAATATCCTGCACGCCTCATCCAGTTTATATACAGTATATGTGTTTTGGCACACTTTGAAATCTGGCTTCCATTTTAAAAGCTGTTCCCAAACTTGTTTAGCAGTTTTCTTCCCTGCTGATCTAATCTTTCCTCCTTTAAATTCTTTAATGTACCAAACAGGCAGTTAAACTGAATTTTGCTAGAGATTTTAGTTCTTAGGCTTCCTATTAAAAGAAAATGCTTCTTTTTTTTTCTCCAAGATCTCTGCTACTTGAATTATATGCATCAATGTAGTCTAATCTCTGAGCAATTAGAAAAGGAATAATTGTGAGTGTGAGGCATCAAATCAATGAAATTATACTCCCCCAGAAGCTAATCAAAGTCCATTTGATTTGCATCAGTTAAATACAATCACTTCTTCTCTTCTCGACAAGTACGCTTTGATGTACTTGTCATTCAGGGATTGGTCATACAATTAAGTATATTGATTTTGACAGAATTAACTTATACTAAAGCTCTCCATAAAAAAAATTCCTTTGGCTTCCTTAAGTTCACCCTAGAATTTCCATATTAATTATTAAACTAGGGAACTGGGGTACCAGTTGATGATGAAATAAATGTTCAAATGGGAAAGAATACAAATGACCCTGCATTATGAATGCTGTCCTATATATGTCCTTCTCAGTAATAATCATACAATTCATCACTCGCCCAGTCATCATTTGATCCCAGGTTGGGCCCCTTGGGCAGAGCCAGTGAGGTTAAATTCAGTTGATCTGCAAAAATATAGGACACAAAGCATATGGTTACCATCTGAAATGAGTTACTGTCCTCCTTTATCTACTGCTAATAATTGTTGGCTAAAATAATTACATTTCCAAATAATAATGTATAATAAATTGTGTTAACTGGATAATGGGTGCTGCCTATGAATTTTACAAGCTATCAGCATAGTTGTAACTTTCAAACAATTTGTCAGGCAATTAGCATATTGGTTGTAGATGTTTCAGATAATTTGCAGTGACCAAGCTAGTGGATCTGATAGTAGCTGAACTCCAAAACATCTGGAGGAAATCATCTATCCTTTTCCTAACAATGGGACAAAGGCTGCTATTTTGATGGCAATGCCATGCATTTACAAAGTGCTGTTTGAAATGCAAAGAAGAAACACAGTTCCCTTTCTTTACAAAACAGTATTTATATTTTTATAATATAACAACATTTTATGGGGCACGGAAAATAAATAATTTACTTGGTGAAATTGGAGAGGGATTTCCATATTTCCAAATTTCTAAATTCAATCTCTATGCTGTCACAAGATATATAAAATATAAAAACTAATGACTAGGTAGACATTAGCAACTTCCAGAATATAGAAGACACGTGTGGGTACTGGTGGACACAAGAGAAAACCAACTGTTGAGACAAACAGGTTGGCTAAAGGAATGACTTAAGGTTAGTTTCTACTTACCAGGAGTGAGTACCATAAGGCTGGCAGGAGCTGCCACTTGTCCAACACTGTTTCTTGCATAGCAATGATAAGTTCCTTCATCAGTCAACCGCACAGCTTGGATTTGAAGCCAGCTGGTTACCTCATACTTCTGAGGACCTCCCCTAAACTACAGCCAATTACATAAGACACATTTTAAATCTCTCTCTGTATACTGTATGATTCCATTGGGGAAAAACTTTTTAAAAAACTTTATTCTGGGGTTTATTGATAACTGTCCTGCCATTTTTATCAATGACTGTGACACAATTTCGACAGATAGGTTAGGTTGACAGAAACTAGGCTGAAGTTACCCACTGAGCTTCCATGGGTAAAATGGCTATGACTACTCTGCATTGATTCTGATGTAGAAGATCTTTACCTTAATAAATACATAATAAAATAATTACAATAAATATCACATCATGTCAAAGTTCAAACAACAAACTAAAACTTCAGTATGCAGAATCATGTTGATTCATTTTTCCATAGTTGATAGAAAATTTAGGAATATCTTCCATCTTGGATTTTAAGTTGGATATACTAGAATCATTCACTACTCTTAACCACTGACCATGCATGACAAATCCGAACTCCTCATTTTTTTATACATCAGTAATTCATATTCAATATCTTTGACTCGTTTCTTTTCTGAACAGTCTATTTAATACTTTATAAACCTTAAAGCAACACAGTGATACTGTAGAGCAGGCCCAAACCATATTTCCAACATACAGAAATTAAAAACAACCATTACTCTACATCTTCTGAGGGATTAAATCCATATTTAAAAAATATTTTGTTGAATTAATTCCATTGGCTTAGGATCTCGATATTTGTGAAACACTCTGCTCTGGGTTGAATTTGCTCAACTGATGAGATTACAAAGCAAAGGCTTGCTGAGAATCCCTCCTCCAATGCAGGAACCCCTTTGTCAAAAATATTCAGTGATAGCCCTTCTCTTCTAGAACAGCTTATATCAGATATTAGAACACTCCCTCTTCATTAGCTATGAAGAGTTGTAAAAAGACCCCTTCTGGAGCAGTTTGATGAAAGATTATCCAATTTGCAGATCCATTGGGCTGGATTTATGAGCTGTATTGAGTTTCTTTCTATTGCTTTTATCCTACTTTGTATTTGGTTATGATAAACCAGTCAGAGTTTCTGAATTGGAGTGACACATACATGCCAAAAGACAATGTAATAAATGCAAATTACTTGCAAGTTGCCCAGATCTAAATTCATATAATTTCAATTTGGACTTTAAACATATTTTAACTTTAAAATAAATTCAGTGTATTCCTTTACTTTTCCCATGCTTTATTTTTGGTTCACCCTCTTTTGTTTCTTTGTAACATTATTGTGCTTGTTTATGTTATTCTTTTGTTACACATGAAAAAGGAATCATGTGTATGTGGATTTTCACAAAAAGCTGTAGAGATAGTCCACATGTAACCTAAAGTTTATTGCTTAATATTGTAAAATATAACTCATGTAGGATGAAGTGTTGGCTTCAGCACAGCTCCCTGAATCATATTGTTTTATATAATCACATCTACTCATTCATGCAAATACATGCTTTTAATCAGTATATCTAAAAAAGAAACATTTGGTATTTTTCTGAGTTCAAAAAGCTGCAAACTTAGAACATCAAACATGTTATCTGTCTTTTGGCAGGACTATTATGCTGAGCATTTTATCTGAGAAAGTCTCCATCATCATACTACACAGCATTTAGAAGATTTATATAGTCACCTAACTTTGTATAACTGCAGCTTTGTGTAGTGTACAAAAAATAAAAATCTCCAAATATTATTGCAAATTAAAAAAAAACCTTATATCAACAAAAGAAATGAATTTGATTAGCAACACGTGAGATAACATATTGCACCTATATCATTTATACTGCACCTTCCAGAAGATGGATTTATCTATCATTTTAGACTAAACCTGGAGTAAAAGCCAAGTTTTTAAAGCTTTCCTCCAAACAAAGGGAATTGGGACCATCTGAATCTCAGGGACAGATTGGTGCAAAGGCAGGCACCACAATAGAAAAATATGTTTAACTACTAAATTCATGGATATATAGTTAACATTGCAACTTGAAATTTGTCTTTTTACAGTTTTCAGCTCTTCTCTTTTTGTATTCCCATTGGTTAGGCTCATCCCATCATCTCCATATATATTTGGAAAGTGTTGGATTCCATACTATTTTTGACTCTTTCTTTAGCCTGATTCCAAAGCACATTGTGGGTGTGTGATTACAACATACTGTACATAATGTTTATGGAACTAAGGTTTTTTTTTTTAAAAAGCATGCATTTAATCCTATATGCACATAATATGCATATGTATTTTCTACTTGGTCATGTGCTAGACATTTCAGACTATGTAAAATACCAATGTATGTTGCTGTTCTTTCCATAATGGAAAATAATCTAAATTATTTACAGATGGAACTAGCAGCAGTATATGTTCTCTCTCTTCTTTTAAAGCCTAAATGAGGAAGTTTGGAAGTTGCCCACATATTGTCTTCATTTCTTAGTCTTCTCTGTAAATAGAATGCATGGAATCCATGTCTCTATGTGAATGCCTACATCCAGATTTTTCCTTTCACTGTCAGGTCAGAACAGTGAATTGCACCCAAAAAAAGATGTTGCATAATCAATTGACAGATTAAAAAAAAAACTGCCTTGGAATAACCATTTAGTTATCTAACACCACTGCAAAATTGAAACAGATTCTAAAATGTGTAATGTATTGGCAGGGGCTGAACCAGAAGGGAAAAGGGAGGGGGTTGTTACAGAGACAGGAGGAAAGATACCCAAAGTTTCATAATTGCACTCCAAATTGCTAGAAATCTCATCTCTCTCTTAATATTGCGGAGTACTATTAGACTGATCAGACAGTTCAAAATTTATATTTTACTTGATGGACTTGTATCCAACAATTTCTGAAGGAATTCAGTTTATCATCATGTAATCTCCACAGCAACAATCCTGTAAAACAAACTTCTGTAAAAAGAAGTGACTGGGCCAAATTCAGCCACTGGGAGAAGCATGGAATTGGAAAAGGGTAACTAGGCCTTTGTTTCATCCAGTGCTTAGGCAGGGGTGAAATGCTCCTGGTGCAGACTGGATCAGGCGATCCGGTAGCGATTGTGGCAGGTGGTTCAGAGAACCAGTAGTGATGGCGGTGTGAGGTTCCGCCCACCCGCCCAGGTGTCGTTATTTCCTGGTTTTAACCAGGAAGTAATGTGTTTTTTACCCTCTGTGCGGCGCGTGTACTTCCGAACCGGTAAGGAAGGTAAGTAGATTTCACCCCTGTGCTTAGGGCATAAATCCAAATTAAAGCAGCCTTGATGAATGGCTACTAAGTCTTGGTTTGACCACTTAGAATGAAGGGGAGCCAACTTCACTGGGTAATTGGTTTGACTGTAAAAAAAAAAGAATTTTTTTCTTAGAATTCAGTTGGGATCTATTTTTCTCTAACTTAAATTCATTATTCTGTGTATTGAAGCAATAAAGAAAAGGTATTGCCCTTTTCAGTGTGATTTCCTATCAGATATTTAAAGAGTGCGCCTAGCACCTTCAATCTCTTTCCAAAGGCTTTAGTTTATAATATCCTAATCATCCTCGCTGCCTTTCTAAGTTTGTTCCTGTTTCTCCGAATCCTCCTTAAAGTGTTATGGCCAGATCTGGACACAGTATGAAATGAAATATGATCCAAACACAATAAAATGGAACCAAGCTGCATTTTCCTTGTTGATTCAGTTTTCCACAAGAATTTCCTATCATGAAATTCTAGTTATATTAGCTCACATGAAAATCCATTTTTGTGAGAACAAAATATATGTTTGATTCCACTCAATCTTGGTTTCCCTTAAAATCAAGAACTCCAGCAATACTTTCTAAAAATACCATTTCATTCTACAACCCACATTCATGTAATTAACAGACCATTGTTCCAGAAACCAACTCCTGCCAACACATTTTGGGTAGCCAGGGATTCATCTGTAAGAAAGGATGTTTGGTCCATTTGCATGAATGATGATGAGAATACTGTCTGAGCCCCCAAAGTCTTGATCTTTTTCTAAGATTGCTAAAATCTATGGTGTTTTGTCCTACACCATAGGTACTGTATCAGCAGGGACCAGTAATTGTTAGATCTGATATGCTTAGGATGTTGTTTTGCTGTATCCTTAAGGATTGCTCCTAGCAATCAGTACACCTCACAAGCTAATGTGTCTGGTAAATATAAATACGTTTCACTTCTTCATAGTGGAGAATTACCACTTACCAATTACCATGGCTCTTCTTTGTCACTCTTTTTCTGAATTATCTGAGCCCATTTCAGCCACAAAGGCCTGAAAACTCTTTCTGAGTACATGGTGCACAATGTCTTTATGTACGTTTGTCTCTTGATTCTGGTTATTTTCATTCACTAGGCTTATTCCAGGTTTATCTCAAGGTAATTAATCCAGTCCAGGACTATACATGCGAAGGCTATTTTACAAGTAAACTATGCACTAGGGGAAAAATAACAGCAAGGTTATGAATCCAAACTAAACTAAGTCAAATTTCCAGGAAAAAAACCTGATAGTGAGGAGACCGCAGTAGGAATTTCATGAAGTCACCGCAGAATAGCATTATTCTGTGATACAAGTTCATGATGATCCTTAGATAGAAGTTGCTTCTGATCCTGTTTTGACTCTCAACGAATTTGGTTTCCCCTAGCAGATTTCTCCTGAGTAATCTTGCAAAGTCTTGCTGTCTCTTTGTGAAGTTGAGCACTCTCTGCCCATTGTTGTTCACTTTTCAACTGCTGGCCTATTTGAGGCTAGATGGAGGAAGTTCCAGGTTTGGGTCAAAATTGTAGTGTTCATTTTAAGAAAGTTGAGGTCAGTGGTAACTCAGGTTCCATGGTGCCTGGCAACATAGATTTCTGGAAATGATTCATAATCTGAGGAAGAATCTTGAAACCATGCTATGAAAACGTCTTTATTGGAGTTTCTTCCTTATAGAGTGTTGATTCTACTATCAGTTTCCATTGTAGTGTTTCTTTACTATGATCTGATAAATTCTTTCTCATCAGCTGAAGCGCCTCCTTATTGCTCCAATCTTCACTTTTTCTTCGAGAAGTACACAAGCTTGGACCTGCTATGAATATAGGTCAAGATTCTCTCAGGTAGGTACACAAATATACCTCTCAGGTCATAACTACAGATTTCTATCCACTCATCTTTGGGGAGGGGGTGGGGGTGGAGTAGCACTAGGAAAAAGTTGTATTTCCACCTGTTTCTGGTTCTCAGATTAGCTGAAGTACAAACTTTCAGTTTACTAAGAAAATTTGTTAGAAACTTTTCTGTCAAATTCCACCAGCAAATTCCTGTTAGCAAAATTCAAAGTTTTGGACTTGCTGAATGAGTCAGATTTAACATTAAAACATGAATCAATAAAATGGCATGATCAGCCTTTTTTCACAGCAGCTATACAAAATCTGGCTACTATGTGGATAATTTGGATATTTCATCTCGTAACAGCTTGACATCCATTCTGCCCGGATATTGGCATGGTGCACTACTCCATGGCATATTTTTTTATGGAGATTCCTATACTAGGTGCTAGTATCTTGTATTGTTTTACTTTCCAGTTCAAATGGGCACACACATTTGTATTCTATTCTAACAAGGTATATTTTAGAATATCTGCCCTACAGAAATACAAGAGAGAGAACATTGTACCCCATGTGATCCACACCCAACATTTTAATTACTTCACCACATTAGCAAAACAATATTTACCCTCACATAACAATAATTCCAAGGCACTCTGTCCCTTGACATTGCTCACACATCTTTAGTTTCTCCCACTATCTGTTGGATTAACATCTCTAGGTGAGGAAACTTCATGTGTACAATTGCAAGTGTGAAGATTTATATACATGCATGAAGAGCAAGTATGCAAAAAAAAATGCACAAAGACAATGATAAATATATAATGATAGGGTGGAATTGTTTGTATATGAAAGTCAAATCTTTTATAAAGCCTTGAGGGTCCATATGCCTGTACAATCATTCTTTTCCCTACACTTCACTTAAGATAAATGTGTGCAGGCTTACATTCTTAAAATCCCACTATCTAAAAAAGATCTCCAAATCCCATGCTGCATACAGATTTAGCAGTGCATTAGGATCTTGGTAATCTTGCTTAATATCTATTTTTCCACTAAACATTTCTGATGCAACATATTCTCTAGCATTACACCCAGACTATTTTTAATTAACTCATAGCAGCAGACATTCTCTCTGGAGAGTTTCCCATTGTTTTAGCTTTTTCTTGTAGGAAAGCAATTCCTGGTTCCAATTTAATTTGTTCAGTTGTATTTTCCTCATCTGTTTTCTTGGACTAGTGTGATTGCACTTATGTCAAAGGAGTAGTTGAAGTTTGATACAACAATGCAAGGAACAAAAATGTCCCTTATTTTAAACGATAGATGCTATCACAAACATATCCTACTGTTTCTCTTGACATAACATGGAACTATCCCAGCCCCCTAACCAGACTGTGACTTGACATATGCTTTTACCCCACCCAAACATTCCATATAATAGTAGAAATTTTAGTTTCCATAAATGATTCCTAGGATTTCCTCACACACCCTTTAAATGGAAGGGTGTAACACTAAGTACTTTGCAGCTTTTAAGTTCTATTTTAGGCTGGCTTCCCAAGCTTGTTAACCTCTGTGAAGATCCATGTTAGGAACATTCATAGATCACCACAATATTTCCAATTGCTAATGCAAATGTGTGTAATTGTGGCCAACAAAAGAACAAGCAGTAAAAATGGAATGGTAATTAAAGCTTGCAGTAAGAAAAACAAAAGAAAAATGGAGAATAGTTCATTGGTTAACTGTATTTTGAGTAGCGCCAAAAAACAAAACAAAGCAAAACAAACAAACAAACAAAGGTTATTTGAAGAAATCTGTGCATGTCCAAAGCTGGTTGTCATTTGTTAAGCAAGTCCATCTTTTGTTAAGCAAGCAGAAGTTGTAAATCAGCAATGTATAGCATGGAAGATCTGAAGAACTTTGAGAGCCAATTAGATGTTATTATTAAAATTCTCACCTAGGAGATTCAGGTTCAAGCCCACCCTCAATCATGGAAGCTCAGTTGATGACTTGGATCTGTCCCTCTCTCAGCCAAACTTCACCCGCAATGCTGTTGTTGGAACAACAACAAAAAGAAGCCCAAAACTTGAGAGAAAATTTTTACAAAATGTTTTTATAGATGGCATTTGGATCCCAAAAAGTTAGCTTGTATGTATCCAAGCTTACAACCTACGTGTTGGAGATGTAAATGTGATGATGCAATGTATTATCATTTATGGTGGACATGTAAAAAAATTAAGGCATTTTGGATTAAGATATGGTGGATTATATAAAATATTCTTTAAAAGAAGATAAAATTTACTTCACAGTTGTTTTTATTGGGTATAATTACAGACTGTACGGTAATAGAGACTAATTTGATTTTGAATTTAATAACTGCAGCCAGACTTTTGGTGGCGCAGTACTGAAAGAAGGAAGACTTACCTACTATTGAAGAATGGACATTAAAAGTAGCTAATTTGGCGGAGATGGCTAAAATTTCTGCATATTTGAAGGACTGTTCGAATGAAAGATACATATTGGAATGGAGAAGATGGATTGATTATATTCAAAACAAATATGGAACTAAAAAGTTGCAAATAGCTTATGAATGAAATATTTAGATGAATTCTTATATTCTTATATTTTGGTATGTATGGGGGAGTTAAAGTGTAAGGGGGAGTGAAGAGCTTATAGTTAGTTTGTTTATGCTTGATTATGTTTGTTAAATGCTATAACCTGTATTTTGCTCTGGGAAGTCGGGGTGGGGGATGGAGAAGGGAAAGGGTGGGGGGAGGAAGGGGGGGGATTTGTTTGTAAAAATATTTTAAAACTTTTCAATAAAAAAAAACAAAAAAAAAACAACAAAACCAAAAAGAAGTCAATATTACATATGCCATCTTGAGCTTCTAGGGGGAAAGTGGAAATAAATCTGACAAAATAATTAAATATAAATAGTGGCACTTTAGGACCATATACAAAGAGCTAAAGGGAGGACCATATTCCCTATACCACACATAACCTCTGTTTGAGGGTAGACTAGATTTTCAGGGTTACCTGAACTGAAATGTGGGGGTCATCTCCAGGAAGCAGCATATCCAGACCCTCTTTCCTCCATTCAATAGATGCCATGGGAAATGCAAAGACCTCACAGCCAAAGATCACATCTTGCCCAGTGATGTTCCAGATATCATAAGGAGGAGACACAATATGGGGCTCTAGGAAAGACCAGAAAAAGATCTGAGAAGTCAAGAATCTCTAGTTTATTTGTCCTTGGAAGTATTATCTTTTCTGCTCAATTTTAGAGATGATGATTCCTCGAAGTTACCATTTAGTACACATTTCAAGAGATCCTTTAATCATATGGTGATTAAATCACTCTCACCTTTTGATAGTTAGCTTGTAGTCAAGGCCTGTCTTATTTTTATTTATTTTTTTTGTAACATCTAAACTTTTCAAAATGGCAAGGGCCTGGGACCAGATTACTTTCAGGACTGTCTCTCCTCACCTGTCTCATGAGGTCCAACAGGAAAGGCATGTTCTAGGTCCCATCCACTAGAGGAAAGCCTTTTCTATTGTAATGCTTGCCCTCTGGAACATCATTCTTCTGCAGATTAGGCTTGTTCCAACCCTATAGGCCCATGATGGCGAACTTATGGCACACGTGCCAGAGGTGGCAGGCAGCGTCCTCTGTGATGGCACACGAGTCGTCACCCCGGTCGTCGCCCCATGTGCGTGCACTTCCCCAGGCCAGCAGGTCTCTGCTGCGCATGCGTGGGGGGCTCATGCGGGGAATGCACTGCATGCGCAGGGGCAGGGTGCGTGCAGCATGCCGTGTGTGTATGTGGGGGGTGCATGTGCGGGGGCTGCACTTTGGGGGTTCGGGTGCAAGCGCATTCAAGCAAGTGCATTTGTGCGCGTGCGCTTTGGGCACTCGGTCCAGAAAAGCCTATAGCATCCCTGCTATAGGCTTTCAAGAAGGCCTTAAAAACCTAGTTTGGAACCAAGCCCTGGGCTCCATTATAGTGATGAAGTATATTGTGGTTTTATTTAATCTCAGCTCCTATGTTTGTTTTTTATTGTCTTTATGATATTTTACCTTTTACTTTTTGATCACCACCTAGAGTCATATGTTTGAGATGGATGGTCATATAAATAGGATAAATAAATGAACTATTGCACTATACTCCCAGTTTCCTTTCAGCAGAAAACCTTTTATGATTGAGCTAAATAGTGCTGCTTTGCCAGGCCATCAGCAGCTGTTATAAAGAATGTATTTGCATCATCATGGCACATCTGTGAACAAGGGCCCTTGGCCCCTAAACGGTGGTCCGGGGCTTTGTCGCAGTCGTTTAAATGAAATGCTTTCTAGGGATGTTGCTGCTGCCTCCTGTTGCTGGGGAAACATGACAGCTTTGTGGCAGCTGCTAATCAGCTTGCTTTATTGTCAAATGCTTGGATTTGACTTAAGCTTTCTGGCTAACTCACTTTTCCTCTTGTTTTAAGCTTTGATGCCTGGGGAGAGATGGTAGCTGGCTGGTAGGTAGAGCACAAGTTCTGCATACAGAATGACTTTTATTCAAGCTCTGGAACCTCCAGTGTTTTGTTCTGGTTTTTAAAAAGTTCAATAGCAATGAGATAGATTTTTACCTCAGCTTGCCCTGCCAGTTAGATATTAGATGCCAGGCTAGATGAATAATTTATGTTTTATTAGAAAGCAGCTTCTAATCTTTCAGCCTTTTTTTTCAATAACACGTAGCATTGTGAGACCAAATATTAGAAACATTCACTTCTTCCAGTATCACAATCCTATCTCCCCACATTCTTTTCTGTTTCTCGACAACCAGCCTAAATTTGCTTTTCGTTACCGAACCATCACCAACATGGAATCCTAGTTTATTCTTCTATTTCAGGATATCTCCTTTCCTTGTGATAAGGAGATCAAATTAGAGGTAGTTCCTTCAGCACTTGCAAGTCTAGCCCTCCGTTTATTACCAGTGTCATCTCAGTATCTCATGAGATTTTGTACATATTTTGTATCTTTGTAACTTCATATTTGGCGACAAAAAATGGGATACAAAGCCACAAACCTAGCTTGTAGTGCTCCTTACAGTTATTACAGAAGATATGTATTATGTATAATATGTAAACTTTGTTTTAGTAGCAGACATCTAGAACAATATCTAGTCTGGTTTGATTTACCAAGTTCTGCTATATGATGAAATCCTAGAATAGTATATCAATGCAGACCAATGTGTATGCCAGATGACACTTGCTATCCCTAATATATAATGTTTGTTACACATGAAATATTTCTAGCACTTACCTTAACTCTAGCGATTATTTTTATATACAATTGTTTGGGGTTGTCTAGCTCTAGAAAGTAACAGCCTGTCATTGTGGAATTCCAGATATTCAGGTTCATCTTAATGCTGAGGACTGTTTTACCTGGGAGAATTCATCAATAGGCATTGATTCCTTATCTCCAATTATTTAATTCTTTTTAAGATCTTTATGATTGCAACACTCCATAGAAACAATAGATACACACTGAGTGTGTACTATTAAGAAATATGTTCAGTCCTTGTAGAGAAAGATGGTAGATAAATGGTACCAGCGTTAAGGACTAGATAGCAGATTGTGTGAAAAAAACAATTCTGAGAACTGCAAAATTATTGAAACCAGGTTGTTTTTGACCAATCTCTCTTATCCAATTTTAAACCATCAGATTAATTACTTCACCAGACATTTTTTGTTTTGAAAATGTAAGAGTGTAGAATCATCGTTTCCCATTTATTTTATTTTATTTTCAAAACATTTAAAATCAGTCCTTTCTGACACTCACACAGGCATTGGGGAAGAGGACTTACAGTGGACCTTACCTGATTGACAAGGTCCTTTGTGAGCTACAGTGAGATTAGCCTCAGGGTTGGAATTAAACACCTCTTGGAATTTGCAGATCTGAGCATATGTTTTGCCATCAGAGCCACAAAGAGCTTGGTTAGATAAACAAGTGCACTGGGGCTCAGGCACCTCGCCATGTTGCAGGTCTTCAGAATCAAGACGGCACTCTAAATGATCCCCACATTTGCCATAGAAGTGGTTGGTATGGTCCAAGTCGCAGATCTGTCCCTCTAGATTTGCACATTCCCAACAACAGTCACAGGCATCCAGGACCACTCCAGAAAGGCAACCACGAGGAGTGGGGCATTCTTCCAATCTACATTCTACACAACTCTCCCCTTCCTCTAGAAGCCTCTGCCAGCCACGTTGCAAGTAATCAGGACCAATGGGCAGTGCCGAAATAAGGGCATCCCAGCAGAGAAATAGCATAAGAAAAGTGACTTGTAGAGAAGCTAGGGTAGCAGGTTGAGACATTCTCACTAGTTCACTGGAACTTGGCACCTGTTTGTCACCCTTGCTTGTCACCATCCCTGGGGCGATGGAAGGGGATTCACTACTTGTTCCTTTTCAAAACCACAAAGACATCACTGCCTGCAAAAAAAAGGAAGGAATTCAGATGCAGCAATTATTTCACCTATCAGTTTCTGTAAATGAATACTTGAATTGGAACATTTTGAGAACAATATTTCCATGCCTCCCATTGATGATCTGAACCCCTTATTGTGATTTTTCAGGATGAAAGGCTGACTCTTCTCAGTGTAAGTAGCTCTCAGGCAAATTATACTATCAAGAGAGCGTTCCAGTCTTTAGATCAGCCAGTGAGGGAGGCAGGTACACCTCCCATCCAGGTTGTTGCAAAATGATGGGGACACAACAGCAAAAGGCATTGTCATTTATGCCTGAGAGGCATAACAAATTCTTGAGCAGGGTCACAGGGGCTCCGTTTTCATATCAGTATCAGCACATGAATGGCAAATATAAGACACAGAAACATCTGTGATCATTTTGATTCTATTTATTTAAATATTTTTATTAAATATTTTTATAAATATCTTTATTTTGTATAGCTTGTACCATATTAAATTTAAGTTGACAGTAACAGGTCCATAGGTAGAGACTCAAGTAAGGAAATCTAAAGCAGGGCACAGAATCATTGCAGAACTCTCAGAACTCAAACACAGAATCACACTTACATAGAGATACAGTTTTTATTGTATTACTTCCAAGCAAGTTGTTGAGTAAAATATGGCTAATATGTTTTTATTTATATCTCTTCAAGTAAGTACAAGGATTCAAGGTTTATTGCTTCAATGATAGCTGATCAGCGAGGAGGTCAAATTCCTAAAGCTCCTCTTTTATCTCTGGCACTAAATGAAGTGCCAGAGAAACCTCTTTGAAAGAACCTCTTTCAGGTTCAAAACTTATTAACCAACTTTTTATACTGTCATCATGCAGCTGATGTGGAGCTGAACATGGTGAGTTTTTATAGACCCCCTAATCTGGGCTTTTAAAAAGTCAATTGTATCGTCTTGTATGTCAGAATGGGCAAGTAGTTGGCCCTTACCTTTTTTCCCCCTATCAATGAGTTGTATAAACTCAATTTAATGTTTTTAAATCGGGGGGTGAGATTGTGCCATAAGCAAATGATGAAAAAGAATTATTCTTGAAAATATGCTTTTGAATCAGCTATCAAAAAGCAGTTAAATTTAAAACAATTCTTTTAATATTTTAATATGTATCCACATATAAATATGGAAAAATAATATAAAGAACAAATGTCATACACAGGATATGCAATAGAAGAGCCTCTTGAAAGTTTTCAAACTGCACATTAATTGTAAAAAAGAAAATTTATATTTTGCAAGTCTTTTTTCTGGAACAAAATGTTTTTCTCCTTCAGTATCTTGGATTAATTACATTTGATGTAACTGTTTCTGCCAATGATGTCCCATTTTTTAAATAGGGGATTCAGTTTTTATTAGAAAATTTAGAGGACTTCTTTAATTTTTTATTATGCAGTGTGACTGGTACAAGATGTGTGTTCTTAATGGAAAAGCAGTTACTGCTATGATCAGTTGCTCTTCTAATGAAGTACTAAATTGTCTTCAGAGAGTTAATATAACTGCCTTTTTTTGAAAAGCAGCATTGCTATTTCCCATTACCCAATTACATAATGTTCAATTACTGAGCTTAGTCATTTAAGGTTAAATGTATAGGCCTGACTCCAAAAATGCCTTTTCAGGAGTGGAAAGATTTTTTTTTCCAGCATTAGGATAAGATTAGTTTAGGATGTTGCATAATCTGTTACTCAAGATGCATACTTAACTCAATGTTGTCTTTGTCAAAATTCTGACATTTCTATGATAATTTTTTCAATAATAAGACTGCTAGAATGTCTTCCTCTTGAATATCTCTGGATTTAGTTTAGTAGTTTATGTAAAAGGAATCTGTTTATTTATCTACCCTTCAGTGTGGGTAACTTACAGATGAATTAAACTAAAACCGCAGAAAGCACATATAAGAATTTGGGGAGGAGATGGAACCTAGCAAACAACAATAAAAAGCCTTCAAAACTAGTGAAATTGTAAAGCTGCTGGCAACTTCACAGTAAAAATAGAACAATGCCATCCAGATGTTGCCCAGAGCATAAGCACTGATACATGTTTAGTGAATCTGTCTTTTGGATATTTTAGTCCCAGCCCACTGACAATACTGTTAGCAGTTTGAATTGGCCTCAGAAATAAATTAATATTCAATACAGCTGAAATAGTATAAGAATAATATGTTCACCATAGGAAATGTTTGTTAACTCCCCCCCCTTTTTTTAACTGAACAGTTTCTCAGCTGAGCACTGTACAAAGACAGCCCCAGTGAGACTCTATTGCAATAGTTCAGGCTAGATGTTATTACTGTGTAAGTATAGCCAAGTCTGCCTTCATCCCAGCTGGCATGCCAGTTTAAGCTGGGGAGAAACACTCCTATTGTGGCCTTCTCAACATCCAGAAATGTCAAACTCAGGAAACCTTCAACCAGCCAGATTAGTTTTTGGAGACAGAGCACCCATATACAGAACAAGCTGTACACACTTTCCTGGATCAGTCGACTCCCAAAAGCAACAGCACAGCATCTTACTTGGATTACGTTTCAATTCCTTAACTCTCATCTAATTTATTACTCATTTCACCAGTCCAGAGCCTCAATTACTTCCCCAAAATTGAATGGAAAGGAAGACAGAGCTGCTTGATTTCCTGTAAATGTCTAGCAAATTTTGTCAGTGTGGTAATCTTCCAGGACCTTAAATGGAAGTGATAGCTACATGAGAGAAATAAGGTCAGATGAGCTAAAGGGCCAGAAACAAATAGCCTATGAGTGCACCTTTGAAGTTCAGAGAGAAGCCTAAGGGAGGAAATTCCAAAACCCCAGTCTCCCCTGAATTATTATGTAACATGCTCCATATGCTGGAATTATTAGCAGAACTATTTGAGCAGAATGTACAAGGAAAGAGACAAGTACAGTATTCAGAAATATTTCAAATGGAAATGATACATATGACAGTTGACAATAAAAGTTGACAAATGATTATGGAATATTCTTGTTACTTCATGGTAAAGCATTCCAGTTTTATCAATTTCAACAACCATAATATTAGTCAGCGGAAATAGTGCAAGAGCAGATTCTTTATATAGATAGTTAACACATAAAATAAAAATTAATAAATCACATCAGAGTTGGATACGTGCAGTTAAGAGTTGTGCTTAGGTCAGCTATTTTACATTATCCAGAAATTTAAGAAGACTGCCCCTAATATTTATTTAATCTTTTTAAAGCACCTCCTACATAGCAACTGGATTAAATGACCCAGATTATTCCTGAATGATACAAAACAAAATTTGAGAAACAGCTTGTGAAACAATCTTCTAAATACTCTCCAAACTATATGATTTTACAGAAGTTTATGCATATAAATACTAAGCTTTACTTCATCTTACTTCAAATTGATATAATTCTTCCTTTAGGATTAGAGAAAATTAGAACCCTTTTGTTCATAGTTCTTCCAAAATCAATGAGTCCATCTAGTACCTTTCCAATAGTCCTAATTTTTCAATCCCCAACCTTTTCAACTTAAAATTAAATTTTGTCAGTTTTAAGCACCCTCTTTATGTCCCTTCTTCTCACTGATCACAAAACGTATTTCCATAACAAAGGGGTCAGAATAGAACAGTGTTTTTCAAACTTTCAGACTTTTCCACTTTAAGATGTGTGGACTTCAACTATTGGAATTCCCCACTCAGCATACAGTAAATGTTCCTTGTGCACATCAATGCACAAGGGACCATGAAAACATAGGTGAAGAACCCTGAAAAGGGTATATAAGAGCAAGCATTGTTGCAATTTTTGAAGAAACAATCATGAAAAACAAACTTTCCCTTTCTCCTGCAAATTAAGGAGAAAGATTTCTTTTTCTTTGTACATGGCAAATGTTGGCCCACTGACTGTAAGCGGCCTCAAGACCCTTTTCTGTACCCTCCAATGCATTCAGAAATCACACTACCAAATATTGACAGCAAACTATAGAGAAGCATTAGTGTAATTTTCCTCTAAATTACAGATGAAGATAACAGAAAATAGTTGTACGCTTTCACCTAAACTTAACATGTCTAAAATAAATCCACTCCCAAAATCTAGCTTGTAGAAGTCCTAGATGTGCCTGTTTGTTAACATCTTCATGTCAGTGTTTTGCCTAAACCTCAGCCAATTGGTAGCTGGGGGAGGGAGGGAGGGAGGGAGGGAGGGAGAGAGGGAGAGAGAGAGAGAGAAAGAGAATCCCAGGTATTCATTGGCGACATTTGGAATGCTATTTAGAATTAAATGTGGTTTAATCCTAATCCTGAACTAAATATTTTCCACATGATTTGAATACTAATTTTCTTAAGATAGCAATTATTCATTGGTAATCAGTGGTTTGCACACTGGAAATACTAAGAATAAGTTTTTATGGCAGCTGTGCTAAGAGTGGTGGAATTGGAGAACTTTTGGTTTGGATAGGTAGATATAAAGAATCTTCAAAGACATGCAGTACAATACAATTTATTATAGGACTCTTTAATTGACAAAATTAAGTATTGGTTATATATCAAGGACTGTATGCAAAGCAAGAACAACACAGAAATAGATAATTATTAAGTGGGGAAAGGGATCATGTTGATTCCTGGCAAATGCCTAGACTAGTCCTTCTAGATTTCTTGGTAAGAATTTCAGAAGTGGTTTGCCATTACTTTTCTCCTGGAGCTGAAGGGAAGAAACAACCCAAGGTCACCCAGTTAGTTTTATTCCTAAGGCAAGACAACAACTCACAATCTCCCGATTCCTAGTCTAATGCTTTTAATTACTACACCAAACTGGCTCTCAGTTAAGCAGGTAGTTATGGACTGTTGCTGAAACCAGCCAAGAACACAAGCTTGTACAATATTTAAATCAGTGCTATTTCTTTGCCGTAAAGCTAAAACTGTTAATCCCCAAGATTGCCATTCAAGTTTATTGCACAGGACTCGCTTGTAACAAAGGCTGAAAGGTCAAATAGGGACTAGTCATGATGGGGAAAACATTCATCCAGTGCTCCATTATCCTGATCCACGATCATTTTTCTCAGCTACCTCATTCAAGATCTGAAAGGCTGTTTTGCCAGAGACGATGCAGTAATCACACCTCTTACATTACATCAGAGAGCTAAGTGTGGTTCTTAAACATCTAGCCCTTGGGTAATGGCAGTGTGTGTCTGATTGCTATTTTTAGGTCAAGGGCAGGCTGCCTATAAAGAATTTTTCCCTTCCTTTCTCCAATATACTAGCACTATCAATGGCATCCATCACTCTTTTGCCTGGATTTTTAAAAAGATAATGTCATGGAATTACACACTAGTAACCATTTTTGTTCAAAAAACTTGGTGGGTAACTTGGGTTGATCGTAATGTATTTGTTTGTTTGTAGCATTTATATCCCAAAGGATTCTCAATGGTTTGTCTAAAATATAAATGTTAAAAATGTCTACTATGCAACAGTGCCACATGCACACAAACAAACAAAAATCCAGGAACAATTCAGAAAGACAGTCCAAAAATACCTGCCTCAAATGCCCTCTAGAAGAACCGTTTCTTCAACGGCTTCTGGCAGGTAGCTAAAACCAGGACTAATCTATCCACATTAGTAAGATGCAATAGTTTATAGCAGTGATGGCAAACCTTTTAGACACCGAGTGCCCAAACTGCACGCGTGCACATGTCCAAACTGAAAGGTGCATGCAAACACACATGCGCAGACATGCACACGTTCACAGCAGAGACCCGAAGACCAGCTGGCCAGCAGGAGGCAGGGCATCCCAATACCGGCAGCAAGGCAAGAGCTAAGATCTTTTTTTTTTTTTTTTGTGAGTTTCTGTTTTGCCATTTGCAGAGAAACAGAAGTTCACGAAAAAAACACCACGGAGATCTGACCTGGGGCAACGGTGCATATGCCAGCATAGAGGGCTCTGCGTGCTACCTCTGCCACCCATGCCATAGGTTCACCATCATGGGCTTATAGACATCCAGTCACCAGTGTCTCAAAATGACAGTAATGGAGACTAGTCCCTCCCCTCCCCGCTTAATGACAATTGTGATTAGTCTAGAACAGTATTGATCAACCTCAGCAACTTTAAGATGAGTGGACTTCAACTCATCCCGGAATTCCCAAGCCAGCATCTCAAAGGCTGAGACACATTGTCCTAGGAGATGCTATAATAAGCACCTGCTTATATTTGGGATCATTATGAATGTTTCCCAACCACTGTAATTAGCTGGCAACTTTAGTTCTTGTTTGATGCTTGACATCCTCACCTGAAGTTTTTGGAGATTTTCCTTAAAATCTTAAAGTCAATATGCCTGTTTTTCTTTAGAACCATAGTATTATCAAGTGAAGGATGAATGCATGGTTCTAATTTATAGCAAATTTTGGCTCAGAATGTTTTTCTTTTACAGATTGGAATTTTATTATTTAATTGTTGATGTATAATTCTGCTATATAACAATGCTTCCTTGTTTTCTTCTTCAAAAGTAATTTTCTTTTTGGAGTTACAAAGAGAACTCATTAAAGATTGCTTTTTCCGTCAGATCTTGTATCATATATATATATATATTTCATAAAATATCTGGAAGCTGAGAGAGAAGTCTAGTATCCCAGGTTCATCTTCCTATTTAGGCTTTGTAGACAAATAGACTTTTATAGGTAAACAGAAGACTCCAAATCCAGTCATTCCAGGCTGCTCGGTATCACTTATACCAGTTCTAAGGATATACTTTAGTGTTTCAGTGTCTCTTTGTAGTATCTCCAATCTCCCCAAATTTCTTTAATTGACACCTTATCTTGGAAATTTATAAATTGTTGTCTCACCTATCTGACTATAGAAAAACATTGAATTACAAATCAGCTATTGAATTTCAGATCAAACTAATCCATAGATTAGTTCTGCTGTTTTCTGGAAAGCATGCTACACTAAATACTGAACATTGAGGCTAAATTGGTTTGACAGCCAAGCCTTCACAGAACTGTCCTTTCTTTCTCCTAATCACAAATATGCTTGTATCAAACTTTTTGCTAGATAGTCATTAATATTGGTAAACAAGGAATGGTATCAGTAATATGACAGACCTTAATTGATCATGCCATATAATGGACTGTAATTAACACTTTAGCTTAAAAAAAGATTTTAAGAAGGTTCACTTGCCACAAAGTTAAATCACAGAATGAAGCTAAGTGCATATCAGAATAAATAGGATGCATTTTCTTTATTCCAAACAGATTCTTGACCAAACCTCTTGATCAACATTATTCTCAACCTATTCATTCAAGTTTGATTATTGATAATCCAATGTTTAATAACCCAGTTATCCAATAAATAACTAGGAACGGACCTTATACTTTGTAGAAACTCCAGATGTCAATAGCTTCACCCATAAAAAGAACTCTCTGGAATAATCCAGATGTTTATCCCATTTAGGTTTAATGGATTCTAAGGATTCATTATCTAATTTAATTTAAAATATGAAGTCAAATCTGAAATACTTATTTTTCCAAAAGTTCAAATGCTTCAAAATGTAAAGAAACACCATTTCAGGAACTCTCAAGGAACGGAGCAGTTATTGCAGGCTACAAGGAACATCAAGAAAAAGTTTCTGGGTTTAAAAAGAGATCATCATGTAATTCCCCGGGCATATCTCATCCTTATAAGACTTATATCTGATCTAGATAGACAGAATCTGGGGAGAGGGAGTGTAACTCTTATGATGGATGTCTCCTTCTTTTGAGAGCTTTCCTGGTCCTTAGCATAATACACACAGTAAGCACAGCAGCTCCAAAATACCCCACTGTTTAAATCTGGCAACAGCTGTGCTCTCTAGGCTTTGGTGGAAGTTAGAGACACCTACCTCATGTCAGACAGGGCAAAGCTGGCAGCTTATTCGAAATCCACTGCTCGGTTGCTTCCAGTGTTCTGAGTATCTCTTTCAGCTTAGGTTGTGCTGGATGGTGTTTGCCTTTTCCAAAGGATTAGTCTTCTGTTTCACTGCTTAAAAAAGAACCAATGATGTCACAATGAAATGTGATCCCCTGGACCCAGCCTTTATGGAACTCCCCCCACATATACACATCCACAACGATGAAAACTTGCCTGATTAGCCACTAAATTTGCTTGTATGCTGAACAGCCAGAAGTAAACCCCAGCAGCAGCCTCCCTCTCAACTCCACTGAGCAACTACAGTTGTAACTATATACCTTGTTCACTGCTTGTTTTAGAAATAGCTTCTTGGAGAAAAAGAACCCCCAATTTATATAGTATAAAGTGGTATTCAGCATCTCTAAAATATATATCTTGGGAAATAGGTTTGCCTAATCTGCCAAATCAAGAAGTATCCAGAAATGTCTGATGTGCCTATCCATATCTGTGGGGGGAAAGTTCATATTTATAGAAATAATAGCAAGATAAAGCAATGTTAGATAGTTGATAAGAGTGCTATTCCCAAACAGTATTCTATTATTGCCTTAGTTTATCTTCATTTGCACACTACCTTTATCAATACAATCCATTTTATGAAAGCAAAAGATTTTGGAAAATTAATGTTTAAAACCCTGCATATAAAAAATATACTATTAAAATAAGCATGCCCTGTATCAACATTTTTTTTAACCTAAGCAGCACAAAACAAAATGAAAATTGTACTCGAGGAAATATGAGAACAAGAAAGAAGTCTACAATTGACTCTTTATGCATTTTTGGGATTCTAAAAAGAATAAAGGCAGCTGTGTTACCATGATTTGTTGTTACAAATCAAAATCATAAATTTACTAAATAAATAAAAAAATCCATATTAAACTAATGCCTTTAGGAGGCTGACTATAGAAAATAGCATGCAAGCATTTGATTTTTCTGAAACTCATGGGGATGGGGGTGAGGGGGAGAGAATGAGACCCACTGGTCAACTCTTGCCTGTATTAAACTATATTCTTAGGTGGATGAATAATCTGTTAGCACTTTGGATAAAAATGTCTTAGAAGAAGAAATAAGGATATTATTGTTGACCCCCTTTTAGAAATATACAACATACTAAGTATGTTAGTACTTAGTTAGTACAACATATTAAGTATGTTGTTTCTTTTTGAAATAAGCAATATAATATACAGAAAGTGAAGGGTGTAAAAAATTAAGCAAAAAATATATGAGATTAAAAAAATATATGAGATTAAAAAAAAAGCAAGTAAATCTAAATTATATGAAGACCATTCACTATTCTTCTCCATACTTTTCTATCCTTGCAACTGTCTTTGCTTTCCTCACCTCTATGCAACACTTCACACACTGCCTTTTGTTCTTCAAATTTCTCATCTCTCTCTCTCTCTCTCTCTCTCAGAGAATCTCATCAACTGCATGACTTTCTCAAGCCTCTCATTCTTCTTGAGCTATATATATTTGTTTTGTAATTCAATATTTGTTTTGTAATTCAATACTAATAGTTCTTTCTATATAAGCAAACCATCTTAATGTACTTCTTATGTACCGTAGTGATCACTGATTCAAGTTTGCATTCAAATACATCCCTTTAGAAGCTATTCATTCATGACCCTATTGGTTTTACCCTCATACATTTCCCTCTGCCTTCAATTTAATTTTATATTTCTCCTGACATACTGAACTTTGACCTATAGCTTATTTTATAAGTTGTGTAGATGTGTGTATTATCTTCTACTTTTTCATTAGCATTCACACATCTCAGTTTCTCTACAGTATTGGTGTCCATGATGAAGAGAAGTGGCTCAAAACTAGAATTTCATGATTCTAGCCCCATTCTTTGTGAATGCATGTCATTACACATGTTTGAAAGAATATTGCTTACTTCACAACATTTTATCTTCCATCTTACAGGTTCCCTCTTTCAGATGCTGCTATCTCCATCCATTTGCTTATTGCTGGTGTCATTTTTGGCTAGTAATATACTGAAGATGGAGGCCAGAAAAGCCAGATGATCCCAAGTTGCATATACTAAAATGAAGACAGCATCATTCAATAGTGTTTTGGAGCAGATGCAGTAGAGGCAGTATAGGGACCAATAATTTAAAAATGCATACCAATATTGTTCTCTGCCAACCTAAGGATGAATGAATACCACATTAAGCTAATAGAAGAGAAAAATCCAGAGTGTCCCTATGTGCTCTGATAAATTGTCTGCCTTAACCATTCTTTTCAATAATAAACTTCTGAAGTTTTTAGGCTAGTGATCCAGTTACCAAAACATGAAGGTGCATTTATCCTTTGGTAAGTAAATGAGAGTATTCATTCATTCATTCGTTTGTTTGTTTATTAACCTGAAGGTTAATTCCTCTGGATTTTAGAAATGAAGGTGGTAGGATAGTACCCATACCCACAGTATTTATATTAGTCTAATTTGATTACCAGAGTTAAGAACTGAATAGAAAATTATCATCAATCTAAATGTAAATACTAAGTTAACATAAGCTCTACTACTATTTCCTATAGTATTGGTAGATCAATGCTAGCATTTTCAGCATTATTACCATCATTAAAGTGGTTGGATTTTCTCTCACCTACCTCCATACTCCAGCAACAAAATTTATGATGAGATACTAATATTGGGATAAAGACACTAAGAAAATAAATTGAAATATTGCATAAGCATAAAGATACTGAAATATTTCCATAAATCTTATGGTATCTCCATTCCTCAGTATTATTTTAGAGAATAATAATTTTCTCAGGTCCTACATAGGGAGGGAAAGCCATCTAAGGAATAATCAGATGGAGTTATACTCTTTATTCAGGATAGTACAGTTAACATCTGCAACATAATCCTAAATGTTATTTTGATATTTGTGATTTATCCACACAGCCTTATTTACTGACATCTCAAAACCAAATCTGTTTTTTATTTATAGCTGTTGTCATAGTTCAAATCAACCTTTAGTTCAAAATATCCTATAATCACAAGCCATTTTGAAGAAGGGAAGCTCCCCCTGCCTGACATATAAATTCAAAGTGGAACTATGAAATATAGACCAGAAACTTTAATTATAATTTCAAGTATAATCAGAGGAACTGGAATCTCAGCCAGAAAAAGTCCAAGCCCAAAGAAAATTCAAATGTCAGGAAGGGAAGAAGACAGGGGTGAAATCTGACCAGTTCAGCCCAGTTCAGGTGAAGTGGTAGCGGACATGTGGCCTGGGTCGCCAAACCGCTAGCAACCACTGGTTGGCCACATCCCTGAACTGGTCCCTCGGTCACTGCTTGGTTGCCCCGCCCCATCTCTGCAAAGGCAGAGCCCCCCCCTTGCAGGGCAATCCAAAGAGGGGAAGGCAGAAAAGGCCGCCTTCCACCCGGGCCTGCATGACTCTCGTGCCAGCTCCACGGAACTTGGGCCTCCAAAGCAGCCCACTGGCTTCCCACCTGGCCACCTTTGACCAACGGTGCCATTCTGGGAACTTGGCCCGCAGAGTCCGGTGCTCCGAGGGAAGGAGGCTCGGCTGCAGCACCACTTCCTGCCAGTGAAGAAGCGGAGTGAGAGCATGGAAGCCACTGGTGACTGGCGGGCTGGCAGACCCCCACGTGGGGATAGGGCCAGTGCCAGCCGCACCAGCACGGAGCCCGCTGTGCTTTCCCTTCAGTCTGGGCGGCGGCACTTACCCAGGCAAGCCAATGCAAGTAGCCCTTCATATTGCCGAAGACCAGGTCACCACACTTGTAATCGTGTGGCCAGCCAGAGCAGGACATGGTGTGGGCAGAGAGGCCAATGCAGCCCTCTCTGAGGTCGTCCTGGCCGAGTGATCAACATGTCTCCCCAGCAACAGGCGCGCTGGGGCCACCTTGCCCGCTGCCTCCATGTGCTGCACTTGGAAGGGGCCACTGCTCTTACTGACCTTCCTCCCCTCCTGGCTGCAGACATCCGCCTGCCCTCCCAAAGCAACCCCGCCGCCGTTTGCTTTTGTTTCATGGCAGGAGAAGGAAGAAAGCGAACAGCGGTGCCACGGCACATGCACATGCACTTGTGCAGCAGTCCTGGGATGTTTGCGGCCCACCTGCCCTCCCAGAGCACCACCGTGGCACCGCCGTTCGCTTTCTTCCTTCAAGCCCCATGGAGCCAGCACAGGAGGCATGTGGGCCCAATTGGAAGGCGGCCTTTTCTGCAGCATCCCTCTCCCCTCTTTGGATCGCCGTGAAAGGGTCTCTGTCTTTGCAGAAACAGGGTGGGCAGTTTGTACAGAGGATTGGCAGGGGGGATGCGTAACCCTCTGGGATGGAGAGCGGGGCAAGAGAAGGCTCCGAGGTTCGCTTGGGCAGTTAAGCCAGATGGAGAAGGGAAACTCAAAGCATTGGGGGTTTCAGAAGGGCAGAATGTGCTTCAGAATGTGCAGCTCCTGGCTCTAACAGTGAGTGATGTGAGTGACGTGAAGTTGGCCATGCCCACCCGGTCACATGACTACCAAGCCACGTCCACCAAGCCATGTCCACAGAACCGATAGGGAAAATTTTTGGATTTCACCACTGGAAGATTATTTCTCCCCACTAAATAGAGAGAAAGAAAAAGAAAGAATGGAATTTCAGAGCAGTATGGATAACTTATACACACACACACACACACAAATACTTGTGGGCCAACAAAGAAGATAGAGAAACAATGATAAAACTTTGTGAAGGAAAATAAAAGTCTTAAGTTGCATCCATTTCCAGATCAAGCTATGCCTGACACTTAAACTTGGGCAGAAACATTTTAATTAAATGCTCATGATTGCCTCTGTTTGGTGCTTGCAGTTGTTCTCTTGTGTACCTTGGAAGAAGAATCTACCTCTTGTGCTGTTCTTTCCTTTAAGCACTTAAGGCGTTTTATCTTTTGACTCATATCCACTAAAGAGGAAATTCAAAGAGGTGTTTGTATTTTGTTGTTGTTTTTCCACTCTAGGTCATCATCAGAGTCTTGGATAGCGGATGTGTTTTATGGAGACTGTAATAATTAGGGAGGCTGGCAGCTCAATTTATTTGAAAAGAAATTGCTCTGGGGGAATGATCTGAACCAGAGCTGACTGCAGAGTATGTGTTCTATCTTTATGAAGTCTGGTATCATGTCTAAACTATTCTGGGCTGTCACATATATGTGCTCTAATCACACCCCTTTGATTTTGAGGGAAACTATTTTTGCACATGGATAAATAATTAAGAATAATCTTAAACATAAGACAAAGGCAAATGAAACCCAATAAATGCTATTTTGTTCCACCAATGTCTTGCTGATTATTTCCAAGTAAATATACTTATTTATTTGCTTTTATCTATAGGCTGTCCCAATGTTAGACTCTGAGTGGTTTACATAATACAATAAATATGCCATAAAACCACAGAAAAGTATTATCCAAAGAAGTCCAGAGAAAAGACCAAAGCATTCCATAGCCAAATTTTAAGGGCTTGTTTAAACAGAGCTAGGGTGTGGGCCAAGCAAATTTTGGGTGGGATTAATTTTACAATACACTAGCCCTGTGCCAAAAAAAAAAAAAATACATAACTAAGTCAGTGGAGATAATGTGTCATAGAAACATCATAAAGGGTCAATTGACCAGTTGGCTAAGTTTATTTATTAAATTATTTATTTATTTATTAAATTTATATGCCACCCCTCTCTGGAGACTCAGGGCAGCTAAGTATCTTTCTAAGTGTCAGAAAGATAAAAAAAATAATCTAAAATAAATTCAGTCTTATATAGGGTAACATTATCCCATCTGGTAAGTTGTGGGAACAGAAAAATAGTTGGTTATCCAATTTTGTCTACTAGTCGCCCAAGAAAAGATGTTGGAGTGAAAGTGTACTTAAAAAGCCCTGGTCTACATTTTGCAATGGCAGAGGAATTTCGGGCATTCATGAGAATTTAGTTCTAATAAAAGGTTTAGTTTTAGCCAAAAAGACTTCATTATTAGGATGTAAAGTTAGCTGAAACAGCACTGAACAGATAAATGTTTGCTATGCTTACACAGGTGCAAGGGTGCAGTTTGGGTAGAGTGGAAACCCACATTAGGCCATGAAACAGATAATATACAATCCTGTAGTATATTGCTATGGGAATGTACTATTAAATGCATGTGCGAAGGTAAATTGGAGGAAGAGGATTTTCCACTTGTTAGAAATGTGTAAGTGACCAAATGTGAACTAGCCAATGAAATGGCATATATGATATTGATTATATAAGCTGGCTTGTATGTGTGATTATATAAACTGGCTTGGAAAGCCAGTTTGATATAGAAGGCTAGAAATTGGGAGACAGTGAGTTCCAGTCCTGCCTTAGACACAATTGGGTGACTTTGGGTCAGATATTCTCCCACAGCCCTAGAAAGCAGGCAATGGCAAACCACATCTCAAATCTTTCCAAGAAAACTGCAGCAACTAGTCCAGGCAGTCATCAGATATCAACTGATTCAAAGGAACCTGTTTCCCAAGATGGGCCAATCCTGACCTTGCATCGTGAATGTGAGGGATATGATGTCAGTTATTTGCATGTGTTTTCCTTACCCAATTATGATAGGTCGCCCTGGGTTATGATGATGTTGTCTCCTTTGCTGTTATTTTTCTTCCTCATTAAAGTTTTGTGTTCCTTCCAAGAAGTGAGGGTGTACTTTTCTTTTCATAGGCCAAGAGATGGGATTGGCTTGACATTCAGGGTGATAGGAAAGAAGTAGAAGGCTTCTAGTGCTCTATCAGCTTGCCTTATGTGGCCCTTTTGGAGAAAGGGATGGAGAAGATGTTGGGCAAAGGTTGGTCAAAAGAATGTTAGATGGTAGCAGCAGCAAAGATAAGCAAAACAAATAGGAACTGTGGAGTTCTTGGTGTTCCAGTGATGATGGTACTACTTAGTTTGGTAATGAAACGTCTGCAAGTAAAAAAATCAAGCTGCAAAGGCACCAAGTTCAACCTGTGCTACATATATGATCTTCTATTGAATAGAAACTACCCAGTCCTTCCCTTTGGTGCCCACTGCTGCCTGCTTGACCAAAGAGGATGGGATTAGTGTTGATTTGATGTTTTGCTAATATTCTTCTGTGACTTCCTGGAGAAAGCAAGTGGAAACTTGAAATTCCCATGACCTAGTGGATAACTAGTGCAAGAACCACATAATTAGTGCTGACTATGTTTAAGGAAGAGTTCACTATCTAGCATATGGTAGGAAACAGGCTTGACTTAACTAAAGTCAAGCCTGTTTGGACTATTTGGTCTG